CCGTGTTTAAGGATTTTTGTGGACATATTTTTTGTTTTATTTGGGTAAATAACTGAGAGTGGAATTGCAGGATCATTGGATAATAGATGTATGTTTAACTTTATAAGAAATGGTTTTACAAAGTAGTATCATTTTACACTTCCACCAGAAATATATGAAAGTTTCAGGTGCCGTTATTTGCTGTTGTCAATCTGTTTTGGAGTTAGCCATGCTAGAGCCTGTAACATGATACATCATTGTGTCTTTAATTTGATCTTTCCTGATATGCTTATTGGCCATTCATATATATTCTTTACTGAAGTATCTATTTAAGCCCTTAACTCGTTTAAGAAATTGTTTTGTCTTTTTTATTGAGTTGAAGAAATACTTTATATACTCTGGGTACAAATCCTTTGTTAGCAATAGTTATTAATAATTTTTTTTTCCTTGTCTGTGGCTTGCCCATTCATTTTCTTAATGAAGTCTTTTAATGGGTAGGAGTTTTAAATCTTATGGAAATCCAATTGATCTATTTTTTATGGTTTTATGTTCTTAAACAGGAAATCTTTGCCAACCCCAAAGTTGTACACATATCCTTCCATATTTTTCTCTAGAAGCTTTATAGTTTTAATGCTTAAGCCTATGATCCATCTTGATTAACTTCTGCGTATTGTGTTATTATGAAGTAGAAGTCAAGGTTTCCTTTTTTTTTCAGTTGTTCAGCACCATTTGCTGAGAATTAGTTTCCTTTCTCTATAGAATTTCATGGGCTTCCTTATTGAAAACCAATTTACTGCATAAGTCTGGGTAAAAGTCTGAATTCTCTGTTCTGTTTCATTAATCTATTTCTTCCTCCTTATGCTAATAGCACAATGTCCTGATTACCACGGCTTTGTAAAAAGTCTTGAAATTAGATAGTACAAGTCCTCCAACTTTTCCTCTTTTTCAAGTTTATTTTGGCTCTTCTTCCTTCGTGTGTGCATTCACATTTTAGAATCAGCTTGCCAATTTCTACAAAAATGCATGCTGAAATTTTGATTGGCATTGCATTAAATCTGTAAATCACTTTTATTTTTGATGGATATTTGGATTAATTTGCTAGCTCCATTAAGCAACTAAGTAATTTGGTTTATTTCTTTATCGAAGCTAGACTCTCTAACTCGTGAACTAAGCATGGCCCTGTGCAGGTTCTTTGTGCCTGAGTATATAAAGAGAACTGTCAAAGCTAAGTCAGTCACATGAATTGGATTAAGTGTCAGCAAGTTTACACACTTGGGGATTTTTCCTTATTAAATTCTTTAAGTTACCAGAGCAGGATATGCAGCTGAATTTGTAAATGTGAAATAATAATAGAATTAGCTGAGACTTAAGAAGAGGAAAGTGAATTCCAGGCACGGTGTTAAATGTTTCACCGGCATTTTCTTAGTATTTTCAATAACCCATAAACAGCAAGTGCTGGTGGCATTCCCATTTTATGGATGAAGAGACTGTGGTTTAGACCACAGAGCTATTCAGCACTGGATCAGAATTCAATCGGCTGTCTCTGGAGCCTGACATCTTGAGCATGAGCCACACAGCCTCCACCCTGTGACCTCACAGCTTCCCTTCATGGTCTTGTCCCAAAGGCCAATAGTTTAGCAACAAAACATTTATTCCCTGCCCCTGGCCCCAGGCTAAAACCAGGCCCTGATGGTCCGACCTTCTCCTCCGTCCATGGAGGTCTTTTGGCCGTCACTGTGTCATGTATTAGATTAGAATCTTATTTTCAGAATATCACCAGATGAGATCAGCCATCGGAGGGCCATCAAAGTCCCCTTTCGGTAGAGATGATTTCCTTTATGCAAAGGTTGGAAAGCATTGTGCCACTTTTTTATTAGCTTTTGCTTCCAAAGGTCTGAAGTCTTGGGTAAAAAGTATAAATAAATAAATACAAGGTGTCGAGAAAACACCACGACTACAGGTGATAGCAGCTTAGGAGTTTCTAGGTTTTCACTTACCTTCATCAGCCAGAGTGTTCACACAGGGCTGCACAATGTTAAAGATTTGGATTTCTTTTCACAGCATTCTAGCTTTTAAAGTGTAATCGTTTTGTGGAGTGTGCTTTTTTTTTGAGGAAGATTAGCCCTGAGCTAACATCTGCCACCAATCCTCCTCTTTTTGCTGAGGAAGACTGGCCCTGAGCTAACATCCGTGCCCACCTTCCTCTACTTTATATGTGGAATGCCTACCACAGCATGGCTTGCCAAGCGGTGCCATGTCCACACCCGGGATCTGAACTGGTGAACCCCGGGCAGCCAAAGCAGAACGTGCGAACTTAACCGCTGCACCACTGGGCTGGCCCTGGAGCGTGCATTTTTTGATGTAACAATAATTACTAAAGATGTGTTCCACAATTTCAAGCAAATTTGAGACTTCCTCGCTGCTTAAACATAATTCCACTCCTGGAAGACGGTTATTTTTACTAATAGGTAAATGCATTTTCCTCTTGGCATGAAAATGAAAATATTTTGCTAAAACCTTACAGAAAACCTTGACACAAAGGTACGAAACCAAGATAAACTAGTGCTAGAAACCCCGGTCTTCTCCTGAGCGACTAGACAGCAGAGGAAATCACCTGCTTCCACCTTCACAGGTTCCGCATCGTTATTCACCAGAGTTAAAGGACAATCTCACTGGAAATGCGAACCGTGACTGGATATTTGATACTATTAAGAAATTATTGATAATTATTTTTATCTGTGATGATGGTATTTTGATTTTTTAAAAGAATCTCTTAGATATATGTATTAAATGTTCATGAATACAATGATATGATGTCTGGGATTTGCTTCAAAAATAATCTCAGGGGGTAGAGAGAAGCAGAGAGGGGTATAGATGAAACAGTAGGACCACGTGTTGACAACTGTGGAAGCCGGGTGGAAAGTACACTATACTATTTTCTCCACTATTGTATATTTTAAAAATCTTCCATAATAAAAAAAATGAAGGCAATTCTATTGACTTCTGTTAACACTAAAAAATAAAACTGAATTCTTAGGTACTTGAAAGATGGTTTCTGGAAGATACCTGTAACTGAAGATTATTAAATAGTGGAGAATAAGAGAAGAGCTTCTAACCAATTCTAACATCCTTACTCCATAGTTTCAAATGACAACACGTTATAATGACATTGATAATAATAACAATGGCAGCTACTGCAGCAGCAACAGTTCACGTTTAGTGAATACAAACTATGAGCCTGGAACTGCTTTAAGAGCTTTACGTTGATTATTTCACTATTAAGATCCTCACTTAATAGATGAGGAAACTGAGGCTAAGTAACTTGGCCACTGTCCCAGCAAGTAAAATCCTGAGGAGCCAGGATTTGAATCCAGAGAGTCTGATTCCATAATCCATTCTTTCAGTCATTCAACAAATATTTATTGAGCAGCTACCATGTTCCAGGCCCTGGGGTAGCAGTGGTGAATAAAAGAACGAAACTTCCTGCCAGCGTAGGGCATCTATTCCAGTGGGAGGAGACAGACAAAACCCATCATGCTTAACAAATAATATGTGTATTTTAGAGACAGTAGAAGTACTTTAGAAAAAATAAAGCAAGGAAGAGGAGAGGGAATGACAAGGCTGTGAGAAAGACCTGACTAATATGGTGACATTTGAGCAGAGACTTGAAGGAGGTGGGGTGGTCAATTTCAGGCAAGAGAAGCATCATGTGCAAAGGCCCTGTGGCAGGAGATTTGCTTGGTGTGTTCAAGGATCAGGACAGAGGCCCATGTAACTGGAGCTGAGGACAGACAGGGAGAACAGTAGAGGCGTGGCTAGCGAGGTCAGAGCCTGTGATGCTTTGAAGGGCATTTGGGCTTTTAGTTTGAGTGGGATGCGGGCTACTGGGGTGGAGGCTTGAGCAGAACAGGGACCTTACCTAAGAATCACTCACGCTACTGTGTTGATAACAGGCTGCAAGAGGTTAACCGGAAAGTAGGGAGCCCAGTGAAGAGGCTCTTCGAGGACCCAGGAGACATCCCAGTGGCTTAGACCAGGGCTGTGCGGGGGAAGAGGTCAGATCTGAACTATATTTTGAAGGTAGAGCTGACAGAATTTTAATTAATAGCTGATGCTTTTACAATTCACATTTACAGTTGCTTGAATTTGAAAATGAAGACCTTCTCTCTGTCCAATTAAACCAGGAACGTTTTACCTGCGGGAGATCGTGAGCCTGAGGGAGCGAGTCAGCCTGGGAGGAGCCTGCGCGATGGGAAGCGTGTGAGTCTTGGCTCAGGACGCGGGTGACCAGTCTGCCCCGGTGATGACGCTGACTCCCTGCATCCCAGAAAACCCCGGAGCCCAGAGTAAACTGGGATGATTGGTCACCCTACTCAGACATGTGGTTTGTGTTACACCTCTGCCACTCTTCGCTCTGGAACTCTGTGCAAATCATTTAGGCCCCTGAGCCTCAATTTACCCATCTCTAAATAGGGATGATAACCTACTTGCCCGGCTGATCTGAAAGTCTTATGAGACACTGGATGTGAATGTGCTTTGTAAACGGTGAGACATTTATATGCAAATAACATACTAGGCGTTTCTGGAACTTACCGTGCCCAGGCCCGAGGACCTCCCCGCTTCCCTCTCAGGTCAGGTCAGGTCAGGAAGCCCCTCTGCTGCAGGGTGCTTGAGAAGGGAGAAGGACGACCCCCACGGCCCCAGGCCTGGCCTCTGGAGTACCCCTCACGACTTCCAGAACCCCCCCCCGGCTCTCCTGTGTCTCTGCCCCTAGTCCGGGGCTCAGCCTGCCTTTGGCCTTGTTTCCTGAGACCCCACACGCGGGGAGCCGAGGGCCGCGTGGAGCAAGAGACGGCGGTGTGACTGCGCTCTGGGCCACCAGGGGGCGCCCGGGAGGAAGGGAGCGGGCGGCAGGGCCCACTCACCCCTTCGGCAGCCACAGAGCCCAGGAAACTTGCGGTAGCCCGCGAAAATGTTCTAACACCGTATGAAAAAAGTAGTATAATCTAGCTAGCCACCAGTGCAGTCATAAAATATCATTTATACAAGAAGTTTTCTGGGACGGAAGGGGCGCACGAAGGCAAAAGCGCTTCAAGTCCACAAAAGACATAACGCATCCCTGGAGGGAGATGAGTCAAACCAGGCTCGGGCAGCATCTCCGTCCTCACACGGTTCCATGGCTTCTCTCAGCCAGTTCAGTTCATTTATTCATGTTCTGTTTATATGGCGGCCTCCTTTTTATTCGTCTAGAGACAGCTCCTTTTGGGTAAGAGCTACTTGGTTTCCAGCCACAAGAGAGAGCTTGGGAGGTAGTGAATCAGTCCATCGATCTACCTAGCTACCTTATCTATCTGCCTATCTAGTATCTGTGTATGTGTGTAGTATCTGTGTATGTTTGTATCAGCTATCTACCTATTTCTTTTTAGAGAGTCAACCAGGAAGCCTGACCAGGACTACCATTGCTTCTCTCCATGCCGTGTGGTTAGTAAACGTGTTATCTTCGAGAATTTAAACTCCCACTTTAAGAATGGATGTACAACATCGGTTTGGGGATGTTTGCTGGGTTGAGCAATTCTGTTTAACCCGTCTAGTTCATTTGTTAAGAAGTCTTTGGAAAATTACCTCAGATTGAACTAACATGGCCTTTGGAAGTTTCTATACACGAAACTTTTATAAAAATGTTCATGAACAACTTGTCCCAAATCCTTTACTAATGGTTTTTTACACTGTGTTCTGAGGATCCTCTCAACAGACACACACACACACAGATACACACACACACACACACACACACACACATTTCTCTTCAGAGACCCCTCAGTGGCTGCTTGGGGGGGGGGGGGGGTTGTTAGATGACATCACAGGCGGGATGAAACTGCCTTCCTGCCCCACCCTTCCTCTGTTTAGAGCAGCCCTGGTTTACTTGTGGGTACCACATAAGATTTTAGTTGAACAATAGCTTCTGTGGCTAAATAAAACTTGTAAACCATTCTGTATAACTGGAAGTTGTAATTCTTTTTCCACGACGATATTTTCAGGTGCTAACATAACTTTAAAAAAGACGTGTGTAAGCAATTTAAAGAAAATAATTTATGTCTTCAGCATCAGATTTTTAAATGTGAAATTTTTACTCATTTATCCTGTTCAGTAGCTGAATATTTACTCTGGCTCTTGCTGCTTAGAAGAGTCCTACAACCTTTGACCTGCTCTGAGACCTCAACTGGCTGGGGAATCACAGAGAAATTCTATTTTTGGCATTAAAATAAAAGCTTCTACTAAGTTTTAGGATTGACAAGGAAGAAAGGAGAGGGGGGATGTTGCAAGTCTAGCTTCTAAGGATCTATTTAACAAATAGGTGAGTTGGCTCTCTCTAACTGACTTCTTATACAGATCATTCAGCCTGACAGAACTTCCTTTGATAAGAACCAGACACAAGCAAACCCACTGACAAACTGGGGGAGGGGAGGACTTGAGCGTGAGCACCGGGAACAAGAGGACTTTTTTTTTCCAATTTAAAAAACCTTCCTGGGGTTGATTTCCTTAAATGTACATTTCCTCTTCCTAATCCTAGTCATTAATCACCAAATAGTGTTTAATGAGCACCTGCATGGATCATAGACTTGAACCAATGTGAAAACTCAAATTTGGGGTTGCCTCTACCTCTGATAATTATAAGCCACCCCCAGGGTCTGTTCCCGACTTGTTTGGCATCTCTGTTGTTGGCAGAACTTGAATCAGGGCACTGGATTTCAACATCTTCTCTTACTCCTCTCCTCACCTTTTCTCGATCCTAGGGTCTCTCAGCCTCTGCGTTATTGACATTTTATGCTGAATAATTCTATGTTTCTGGGGAGCTGTCTTGTGAATTGTAGGATGTTTAGCAGCATCCCAGACTTCTACCCACTAGATGCTGGTAACACTCCCCCCCGAGTTGTGACAGCCAAAAATGTCTCCAGACATTGCCAAATGTCCCCTTGCAAGGGGAGTGGGTGGAAGTGGGAAGGGAACAAATCTGCCCACTTTTGAGAACCACTGGTCTCTAATCTGTGAGGATTCTCAAGATGAGAATCCCATCAGGAATTATCTGGCCACCGCAAGAAGTAGTTCTCAAAGAAACCTTAGACCCAAGCAATTTAACCAAGTCAATGTTCTCAACCCCGGCTACACATTAGACTCACTGAGATAGCTACAAATGACCAACTGGGGGTGAGTATTTTTTAAAACCTCCCCTGGAGATCTCAGTTTGTAGACAGGATAGACAACCTCTGAACTAAGTGTTCTTAGCAGTCTTAGTATTTATACAAACTTTAAAAAAAAAACCCAATTTTATTGTAAATAGGAAATATCCAGGTAGTTTCAGAGCAAGAAAAAAATTGCATATGTTGGTAGATTACAGAACATAAGCCACTGGAAACATGTCATATGTGCTTTTTGCTGTTCTGTTACCATCAAAAAGCAGTTGGGAAACTGAATGCCTCTGGGAATGCTGGGCTTTGTAACAGTTTGGCTGGAGGTGCATCACTCGATGTAGAGGAGTTCCTCTGGTGTTTGTAGCTCACAGAGATGCTTTTGACCAAAGTGATATCCATCAGAGAACTTCACAGGCAAGAGGTTGGCCAAGAGGAAAGTCCTCAAATGGAATGTTTGGGATTGGCAGGGAAGGGAGGTCAAGGCTTGGCAAGACCAAAGGTGGGCTAGGAAGGGAGGCCTCGTGGTAATATTTTTCAGCAGATGAAAAATATGATCAAATCACTCCCTCTTTCCTTTGTTAGCGCTTCAGTAACAGCAGGAGTAACTCCAGACAGTGAAGGTCTTTATATCTTAGGATCCAGGAGAATTAGGTTTAGAAGGTATGTATGTTCTGGCAGCTGCCAATCCCACTTCGTCTGGACAGCCAGGAAGGGCTGGCCAAGATTCTCATCAGTTATTGATCTTCTGGAAGGTGTAGGATGCATTAGACGATGTTCAACTTTCCATGTGACCTTAGGCCACTCACTTAACTTCCCTGAGATTTTGGTGTTTTTATCTGAAAAATGGGCAGCATGGTATTGACCTCACACAGTCACTATGAGGATTAAGTTAGATAATGCGTGTGAAAGTGCATTGTGGATTATAAAGCCCAACAGGTATATTATCTTTCCAGGGACTTTCTATCCTGAAGATTACACTAGTCCAGGAGCCAGTGGCTTTCAGTTTTGGCTTCTAGGAGGTGTATAGAATAATGGATGAGTGTAGCCGTTGACTTAAGTTGTGAAAAGTCTGTGCTCAAGTGGGCAATTAGGAAAATACATTTGAGCTAAAAATACAGAGTGATGTATTTTTCATGACGGAGGTTATGATTACATTTTAGGTTATTATATACTAAAGACCAAGAAATTCATTGATGCCCTCTAAAGTGCAAAGAGCAAGAGATTAGTCTGATAAATGGTTTCCATTAAAAAAAATTCCATTTGGTTTCCGAAATTTATCTTGTCTCCTGGGGTTTCTGAGTGCCACAGTGTCCTCCTCCTGAGCTGCATTCTACTGCTTTTTCCATCCCTAGGTCTGTAGAATATCAATATTTATGCAAATACAGAGGCACAACATAACTAGAGAGCTAACCCACTATGTCCCTATTCGTGGATATGTAACTGAAATCACTGTTTTGTCTTTTAGTTTAGTTTTGGTTGATAGAATGTAATCTTTGTGGGTGTTGAATAAAAGGCTTTTGGTGATGTTGTTTCATACAGGTAATGCAGCTGAGACCATCCAAATAAGTCCATGGTCAAGGTTCCAAGTTATTAGTGCTCGCTTAGTAATAAGGACTCCCATCAAAGGATGAAATAAACAGGGCAGGAGAGAAGGTTGTTTCAGGGGACAGGCAGTCAGTACTATTCTGGGGGACGCTGGTAGAGAAGAGGTCAGTGTTTTCAAATCTTCACTCAGATGCTTTTCCAAATAGGTGTCCCACATGGTTAGCAGAGAAAATTGGGCAAATCCACCCCAGTCTTATGAAAACACAGACACCTGGATGCCATCTTCCTGAAGAGAACACCTGCTCAGCCAGTTGCAAACCCAGAACAGAGCACACTCCTACATTATCACATTAAGTTCATATTTCTCTGGTCTGCCCTCAGATTGTTCTGCCTCGAAGTCTGAGTCAGGGTCTGGGTGGTGGATTTCAATGACAAGAACATAGATGAGGCCCCCAATGGAGGCACCAACCAGAGGGCCCACTACAGGAATCCACCAGAAGTAATTTCCAGCCCTGCAATCAAACAAGAAATCAGTGATACACCACTTCGCCTTCCTCCTGGTATTACTGCTAGTTATTCACTATCCAGCTCGTCTTTCTCATGCTCATGGCCCCCTTTTAACCCAGCAAGAGCTAAATCTAAGGGCACTCACTGTAGCTTGGTAACCATCATCCTAGATTTTCCGGTATACTTGATTTCAGATGATCTATTCCATTGTCATATTAGTACTTGTGAGAGAATATGTCCCATTTATTTTCCTTTCGGAAAATCTAGTCTCTGAACCCAAGGTGAAAATTGAGGACATCTAGGGAAAGTTCAGGTCGAATATTCAGGAATTGCCTTTCCCTCATCCCGAAATAATGAGTCCTGGGGATTATGAATGAAAAGGAGATGTGAAGAGATTCTCAGACATCATTGGTCTATAAGGGCAATCACAAAATAAACAACCAAGAGATGTTTGTCAATGAATGAATGAATTAAAAAACTCAAAGGTGGTTATAAAATTACTTACTAAATATAATTTAACTCGGTGCTTATTTTTTGAGGTTATGGTTTAAAGTTACTTGCTGATAAGGCTTTTGTGCCATGATTCTCTCTCCCCTCCAGAAATCCTCAGTGTCAGCACGTCATATTAAAGGTATAATTCCAGGAGAAAGCAAGTGCCCTTGTGAATTGTCACCAATCTTTTTCTGGAGACAGGAAATCTATTTAAAGAACTCTAAAGACAGGACCATGAATGCTCAGAAGCAAGCAAAACTATGCAATATATTGTTTAAGGCTATGTAAATTTGAGATAAAACTTTAAAAGCAGGAGAATGATGAAAAAAAATTCGGGATATTGTGGAGGAGGCAGAGGAAGCAGGAGGAGCACAGATACGTGAGGATTTCAAAGTGTTCTAGTCGGGGGAAGGAGTCATGGCTGTTCTTCTCATCGTTACGCTTAATAACTACACATATGGTCCATGAGGGCTTTTGTTTGTATCAAATTTTGATTAGAAAGGATAATAAAGGAAATAAGCACAAAACAAGAGGCCTGTCCTAGAATTCATGAGACCTAGTTCTAATCTCGGGACTGTCTAGAAGGTCTTTGAGCAAGGGTCCCCTTCTCTGAGCTTCCTTCTGCTGTCTGCACGGTGGTCCCTTCCACCTGGATCACCCAAGCACTGTCTTAGGACATCAATCTTAGACCACAAATGCAGGCCCCAGGGAAGAGCGCTGAGGTTGAGCACAGCAGCCACCAGATGTCACTCTTACTGCATGGGAGAGGGGTCGCTGCACTCTGCTGTTCTCACAGCACCCTTTCCCACACCCCCACATCCAGATGGACTTTTCCATAAGAGGCATATGGCCTTTAAAAAAGAACTAGGAGACTTCCCTTCAGCGAAATACATGAAGCAAATATAAGCCACTTTATTTGGCTCATCATTTCCTTTCTTCCATCACTGCTTTATGGCAAATCTTCCACTGTCATTTAACAGATTAGGGTCCAAGATGTCTGCCAGCACACATGTCCTCCTTTCACTGGCCAGCCTTTCCTCCTTCTGTCAGAGCTGAATGCTTTGTGCCAGAATCATGTCATAAATGGAGGAGCTCAGGTGTGGTTCCCTGCCTGGCTCAGTCTAAGGTGTACACAGGGTCATTTGCACGCTATGATTTGGGGGCTGCCAGGAAAATGTCTGTGTTCATTGCTTAGGGTGCTGTCATCAGGGATTCATTCCTTTGGGTAAACTATTTAAAAAATTAACGACACCCCTGAGATCTTTCATCCATTCAGTCACTAACACCTTAATGTGCATCGGTGGAGAGAACTTGCAAGGGAAGCATCCTATATTTAACGGAAAAGCAAGAGTCAGCCAGGGTCCGTTGACTTGCCCTCCTCAGAGCCTCTGGTGCCCACTCCCCCCGTCATCCTCACTGCTTGCTGTACAGAGGCAACTGAGGATCCAAGAATAAGGCAGCCTTGATTTTAGCTGAGATCTTGGGTGTGATCCAAGCCAGCACAACTCCTGAGATCCTTACCTTGGGTAGCGAAACCTGAAAGGATGGGACACTCTAGGGACACTTATCTCTCAAAAGTTTTCTTGGGAACTTTCTGGGTGAGGATTACCAGCCAGCCTAGCTCTTATATAACTGGTTCCTGCCCCTTCTACTCTCTCCTTTTTGACCCACTTTATATAATGATGTCAGATTAGTTTTCGTAAGTTGAGGATCTAAAAATGTCACATTTCTGCCCTAAATCCTTTGCTGTTCTTCATAGCCTATGGAATAGGGAGCATCAAAACCCCAAAATTTTCATTCTGGGAGTCTAGGACCTCTATGATCTAACAGTTGCCCTTTCCAAGCTTCTTCATGCACCCTTCCAGCTAGACTGAAGCACTCGCTATTTTAACAATCTGCCTTTGTTTTAACCTCTCTATCCCCTGTTTAAGGATGTCCAAATGCTATAAAATGGCCCTACTTCCACCTCCATCATTCCTAAATCTGGAGCTGCAAATCTCCTCTCAATTCCTGGAGTTAATCAGACAGATTTCTTTAATGGCACTTGACAGCTTCAACCTTGTGTAGAAACCTGTGTTAACTCCTTTGAAATAAAACTTAAATAAAACAGTGAAGGGTAGCGATTGGGTCATATCATCTTTAGCACAGGGCCTTGAAGAAGAGATCACGTAGCTGCATGGATGAATGAATGAAAGCGTGAAGGGAAAAGACTCCAATGCTAACAAGGGACGTGGAGCTCAGAGTTTGGCATTAGGTAACCCCAGCATTCTCCCACAGACATGGTCTCTTACTATATACTTAAGGAAACAAAGAGAGAATAAGCAAGAACTCTGTTTTAGAACCACCACGATAAGCTCAAAGGGAGGCCAGATCACCTTGGGGGGGGGGGTGCATCTTTGTTCTAGGGGTCTGTGTAAAGCTAACAGAGGTGAGCTGGTGGTGGAGGCAGTGGTCTCCTAGAGTGAAACTAAGGAAGATGGGATTAAAGGAAACTCATGGGCTAATTCTGGCCTCTGGGAATAAGGAGATCTTTTGGACATATGTTTTAGATTCTCCATTGGAAGACCACAAAGCATCCTTCTCAGTTGGGGATATTTTGTTCAATCTTTTCACATTCTCCATGCACTCTTAAAATTTTTGGCCAAATAATTCTTTGTTGTGGGGATCTGTCCTGGGCACCTTAGGATGCTTAGCAGTATCCTAGTAACAACTTCCACCTCCACCCTTCCCAATGTGACAACCAAAGATGCCTCCAGGCAAACGTCCCTAGGGGCAAAATTGCCTGTAGTTGAGAACCTCTGCTCTAGGAAATTCCATGTAATGTTAGTTTCTTAAAGGTAGGGAATGTTGCTTGGTCCTCTTTGTATCCTCATCTCCTAGGACCTGTCTGGCATACAGCACTTATCCATCCATTCTTTGATTCAGTAACTTTTATTGGGACTTCCTGTACGCCAGGCCCTATTCTAGTCACTGTGGCTACAAGAGTGAAAAGCTGTCAAGGTCCCCATCGTCGTGATCCTTACAGTCTAGGGTTCTCAGTGCTTATCTGTGGTGGTCATCTGAGTGGTGTCAGTTATTTTAATAGCTTGCTTTTTGTACTGGTGAAGGCAAGGCAAACTCTCTCTTAAATAAGTCATCACGTGTGTCTGACTATATGTACAGGTCAGCATTTAGAGACACTCAAGTCTTTTGTTCTCACAGCAGACATTAAAATTTGCTCACCTGTGTTTTTTCTACTTCTCTTTCTCCACGTTAGAAACTTGTTTCCTGATAAACCACAGTGAGTTCCTTTCCGTGGAGAGATGCATGAGTGGATGGGACGGACTGCTGGGACTTTATGAGGAGAATGTGGGGAGGAATTAATGGGAAAAGTTTGTCCTGGGAGCTTGGTACCAAGTTGGCATATTTCCTCAACACATTCTGAGGAGAAAAGCATGGGGTCTTTCCATTTCCTGTGCACAGACTCTCATTTGTATCTGTCCTGCCGGGAATTTCTTACTCATACCTCTAGACCCGACTTAGCTCTCACTTCTTCCGTGGTGCTTCTCCAGCTCCCCCAGGCAGAGCTAGCCACTCCCTTATCTGTGTTCCCTCAGCACTTTGTTTTAGAGGTTGCTAGATCACTTATTACATTGCTCAAAGCTAGTGTCTTAGCTGATTTTGAAATTTCCTTGCCTAGTACAGTGACCATAGCATAAATAGTGTTCAATGAAGATCTGTTGAATAATGAAAGAATGAATGAAGCATCGCTAGCCTGGTTGACTAGAAAAAGCCCTGTAGTTGTATCAGATGTAAATTCCAGTCCTGACTTTGTCACAAGTGAATCTGTCGACAAATTATACAACCAAAATATTCACGTAAAACCATATAACAACTGAGGAACTATTATTGTTATATAGGACAGGCCTATCTCTTTTGAGTTTATCTAGAGGCTCTCTCACTGTCTCCCTGTGTCTGTGTCTATCTTTCTATCTCTTCGTCTTTCTCTGTCTCGCGTATACACACCCCAAATCACCAATCGCCAGTGAAACATTTCACACTTATGACCAGAGTATGGGCTTCACCTCCACCATCCCACTTGAGCTTTCCTGGATCTCCAAGTCAAAGCACAGCTCTCCTCGATAAGATGCGCCTGAATATTTCCCTCCCCACCGTTGTTACTTACGTGAAGACCTCAAACCCCCATCCTGCCAAAGCAGTGAAAAATCTGGGACCCAGGTCTCGAGCTGGGTTCATGGCACAGCCACTGTTCAGTCCCAAAGAGCAAGATATGACAATAATCAGGAGGCCGATGACAATGGGCTCTAGGCCTCTGGGGACTCCCAAGTTTCTGGAGTCAAAAATGGCAAAGACAATCATGAGGAGGAACATGGTGGCCACTACCTGAGGAGGGAGAAAATGTGCAAGGGGGTTAGCTTGTAGTCTGCCCACTCACCCACCTCAGATTCACCCCCTCTTGTTAAAACAAACCTAGTAATAACTAACATACTCTGGGTGAAGACACTATGCCAGGCACTCTTCTTGTCACAGCAATCCTAGACGTGGTGCTAATATCATCCTCCTTTTCAGATTAGTTATCTGCCCACGGTCACACACTTAGTCAGTGGCAGACAGGTGCGGACCCAGAGGGTTCAGCTCTGGAGGCTGTTACCTTGACCACACTGTTCTGCTAAGCTAATACCCAGCTAAATAGAAGGGCACGCTGAACAAATGGACAAAGGGGCTCATTCAAAATGGCGAGAAAAACAATGTCAGATATCAATAGATAATCGGGCAAAGGAAACGAACGGAAAATTCATAAAAGAAAAATAGAATTAAGAAACAAATAAGTGGGAAAAATGGATTTGCAATGAGAAAATGCAAACAATACCAAATGTTAGGGAAATGATATCAGTTCTCTCAGGCTTTTCTAGTAGAACTAAACACATACCGCACTTTCTAAATTTCTAAAGGAAATTCAGCAGTAATTTAGCAATATGCATTTTAAAAACCCCATAAAGTTATTTGTTCAGTTTGACCCAGCTGGATATTTGAGAACCATTCCATGGAAATAATCTAAAATATGGAAAAATCATAAAACAAACACATTCACTTATGAATTATTTATAGAACTGAAGATCTGGAAGCCACCTAAGTACATGTCAATAGGGAAATGGCTAAATTATGGGGTGCCTATTTTATAGGTTGTTATAGGGCCATTAAAACAATAAATATAAAAGCTATGGGGCCACATTTAAAAATACTTATGATATTAAGAAAAAATATACATGCATTATATTTTACATTCAAGAACACTTATAAAAGAAAAAGTGCAAGAGAATCTACACACAATGATAACAGGTATTCTGAAGCGGTGGGTTATAGCTGGTGTTTTCCCCACTTTCTATTTTCTAAACTTGCCAAACTATTATTTTACTTTAACAGCTAAATGATAGCTACTATTCCCTGAACACTTACTATGTACCAGGTACTTCATATGATTTTTCTCATTAGGACTTCGTAACAATTCATAAGATAAGTCCTATTATTATTGTCCGTTTACAGGTCGGGAAACCAGAGTAGAAGGAGGTTAAGAAACTTGCCCAAGGACACACAGCCTTTACGCAGAAGAATCAGAATGAGAACCAGGCAACTTTAGCATTTTATCTGCTTTCCAAAATAATAAGATGAAAAGAATTTGTATTCAAAGAGATATGTGGTCGCAAGAGCTCTGTTCTCTGAAAAGCCTTCCGCGCCCTCCCAGGCAGGGTGGAAGCTTCCTCCTCTGGGCTTCCATTGCCTTTGGACTTTCCTTCTATCACAGCTGTTATTACTCTGCAAGAGGGTGGTCTGCTTATTTGTCAGATTGAGCACCAGATGCTAAACTCCTAGGAGAAGGAACAGCATGGAGTTTACCCAGCTCAGCAGGGATCAATAAATATTTATTGATTGAAAGAATGATTGTTTATTAGTTAAATTATGGAATAAGCTTGGACCATATTTAGAGCAAAACAATTTAGTAGTCTTGAGATAAGATGGCCTAGAAATATGGCCATGGTGGCCAAGAGTGCTGTTGGGTGTCCACTGACTGATCATTGGCACTTTCTGGAACTCTCCTCAAGGCCTAATGAATACAGAGCTTGCAGGGCTTGCTAATGGTTGAGCACCAGCATCTTCTAACAATTGTTTTCTCTACTTAGCTATACATAATAACTGGCTTAAAACCACAGTCCTTAGAGAAATGGGAAGCCCACTTTGAGACAAGCACACAGTGAAGAAAACTGAGGAGATGATATGTGGATGAACATCAGGCAAGATATGTAAACCCTCAGTGAGGCTGAACCTCCACTGACCAGAAGACCGAGCAATTTCCTTGTGACCAAGACACCCGGTGAAATGTCTTGAGGATAGGAATTGGGAAAACACATAAAATTCTATGAGATTCCATTAGAAGAACAAAGTTGGGAGGAAGAGAGAAAGGGAGAAAGAGAAGGAGGAAGAAAAGGCCTGCTAATGGCAGAAAAAAGACCATTTGTTGACTGACCACTATTCGCCAGGGATTTTATTGCCATGGTGTATTACTCAGGTATTATTGATGCCATTTATCAGAAGACTAAACTGATGCTTCAGAAGGTTCTGAGTAACTTGTGCAAGGGCAAAAGCGTGGGGACGAGTCAAGGCTGGGACGAGTCTCCTAGAAGACTGCAGAATTCCAAGAGAGGCTCGCACCACTCTCCTGACCTTGGAGTGACCTTGTGTCAGAGATGTCCTGGCGCCCGCTAATTCTCTGGAGGAAAGAAAGGAGGAGAGCATTGCTCCAGGACTCAGCGGAGAGGGCCTCTCTCTGGGGGAAAGCACACAGGGCTGGAGTCTTCATGCGCCCCTCACATTCTCCAAACAGCCCAAGAGTATAGGGAGGTGACTGTGGATCCAAATCACAAGGAACAAAGTCATAGTCTTTTTCTCCAAGGTTTGAGAGAGAAAGTCATTCTTTCTCTCTTAGCTCCAATGGAAAGGACCTGAATTCTCATGAGAAATCACTAAAGATCCTTTAAGAGCTCTTGGCTCCAATCCTATCTTCTTCATTATAAGATAAATTGGGTTTGAATTGAATGGAAAACAGGATCCTTGAGTAACCCTGTAATTCTTACTCATCCTGAAAGCCCATTCTGAGGCACCCGCTGGGGCCCTAATTGACTCAGTAAATACCCAGCTAATTGCTCTAGTCAATGTGTGCACTCACGGCTTAACAGGTACCACCTTCTCTGTCCTTCTAAACCTGCCTAGGAGAATAGACTCCTGGCACTTTGAAGCTAGAAAGAATCACCTGGTCGATCTCTCTTTCTCTCTCTCTCTCTCTCTCAGTAGAGACTGATGCCCACAGAGGTAAGGGACCCGTACCATCTTGCCTTCAGTGATCTCTTCCCCCTCCTCCTAGTCTTCCCTCCTCACCTCTTTTTCTGTGTTGCTGTCCAAGTTTATGAAACAACTGCCCTCCTGCCTCCTTTCTTCAGTTGGTACCAGTTTTTCCTAGTTTCCAACTGGCTAATCTAGTCTCCAAGCTGGAAAGGATCTTAAAGGTGACATATCCCTCACTGCCCGCCATCTGGTGTTAGAATCTCCTCAAGAATCTCCCCATTCCCACTTTCTACCCCTAGAGGTCACCCAGACAAGCCTCCAAACCTCTAGCAACTATTGTCTTGGGTCAATAGGGTCTATATTTAGCCCAACCCCAATTGCTAGAAAAGCCTTTCTTTTATTGAATGTAACTTTATCTCACCATAATTTCACTTGTTTATGGACTCATCCATTCACTGAATAAATATTTATTGAGTACCTATTATGTACCAGGCATTGTACTTCCACCAAGTCTCTATGGGGGGTATACACACCAAGTCTAACCTCTTTTGTGCTTGGTAGCCCTTCAAATCTCTGAAAGCTGCTATCCTATCCTATCCATCCATCCCCCCCACTGCCTTACACACCTTCTCTAGAGCAAACACCCCCATTCTCCTCACTGCTGTGTGACGTCATTACCTTTTCGGTTCCTCTCCTTTGGTTGCATGCTCCCTTGAAGTGTGACATTTGGAAATGAGTCTAATACTCCCAGGACAGAGTAGAGGAAGACCCTCAACTACTTCATTTGAATACTGTGCTTCTATTATTGCATCTTATGATAACATTCCTTTATCTGGCAGCTACATCTCTCTGTATCTTTTCCACTGAAACTTTTCCTATCATTCTAGCTCTGTTCCTAATCACTAATGTGACCCCTACAGTCCTCTTTCCTATCTAATTATATTCAGTTTTCATTGTTCCTTTTGTTCTTATATGATCATTTTGATCTTCAACTAGATTCTAAATTCCTGGGCAGATACCGTTTACATGGCATTTTCTTCATATTATTCACTTTATCCTTACAAGTAATCTGATAAGTGCTAGCATTATCCCCAATTCGCAACTGAAAAGCCTGAAACCCGAAAATTCCAGTAATTTGCTGAAGTTACACAGGGAGCTGTGGGCAGAACTCTTATTTTAATTCATGCACTCAGACTCCAAACCTTGGATCTTCACAACTCACATTTACTTGTCCCTCAAGTTCCAGACACAGGGCTGAGCACATAGTGAGAGCTCTATGAAGATTTTTTGCCTATTTGGCTTATTGATCAAAGTGGAAAGGAAAAAGCTGAGGGCATGAAGACATAGTTTTTTCATCTGTCCGTTGAATGGAGCTGTGCAGAGTTGGCAAACTGGAAGATCTATTTAATACACATGCCCACTCTAACCTGCCCCATTGTGTACGTCCTGATCACAAGAGAAGAACTTAGAGTTGCTGGAGAAGATGTCCTTCCTTCCTCCCTTCCTCCCTCCCTCCCTTCCTCCCTTCCTCCCTTCCTTCCTCCCTTCCTCCCTTCCTTCCTCCCTCCCTTCCTTTATTCCTCTACTCTAACTGAGCAGTCTTCCTGGGACACAGTAAGGGAGGGAGAGTCTGTTGGGTTGCCAATGTTGATCCTGCCACAAAGTGACCAGAACAGTTGTACTACTGGCTCCACTACCGATGCTTAGATGCAGTTTGTTTAAACATCGATAAGGCAGAGATACTTCTGTCTACCTTGAGAGTCTGGATAAACCTATGCTCATGGAGAGAGGCACAGAGGATCCGCGATACCCTGGGCTCAACTACCACACTTCACCATCCTTGAATCGAGACCAAGATGTCTTTTCTTGTGGCCTCCACATTTAGATAATGCACACAAAAATACAATAATAGTGAGGCAAACTCCATTTGCCCCTGGGGTTGAAATGTCCAGTCATCCACTCTCTTCTGGACCTCAACTGATGTAAAACAAGTGTTAAAAAAGAGACAACAGGCCCCAAATGGGGTCACTTGTGCTAAGCCTGAGACTTACTACCCAACCTAACTGCAGTTTCAGCCTCTCTCAGGAATGCAATCTTAACCAGTCAGTCTGGAATTACCTGGTCAGCTCTCGTGAGGCAATCTGCCTGGTAGACCCCTATTGCCCTCAAAGGAAGGTGCCTGAAACAATTCGCTCTTTGCTAGCAATTTCCTTGTCCCACCTCCTTCAACCTATATAAACTTTCCGTTTTGTACAGCTCTTTGGAGCTCCTTTCTATTTGCTAGCTAGGATGCTGCCCAGTTCATGAATTGTTGAATAAAGCCAATAAGACCTTTAAAATTTACTCAATTGAATTTTTTTTTTAACATAAGTGTATGTATTGAAGAGGAAGCAGAAAACTGTCTTAGTGGTGTCAACTCCAGCAAAGGCAAAATTTGTCAAGAAAGCTTGGGTTGTGCCTTGTGATCTCTGATTTTGGAAACACAGCCTTTTCTTTCTGAGAGATCCATAATGCTCCTATGTGTTCCTCTGTTAGATTACATTTTTTCACCAAAGTTAGGTCTTTGTTGAATGTACACTTACTTGGTCTGCAAATGCATTCGCCAGAGACAAATATGGAGCTGGGTACGTTGCAAAAATGTGTGCTGTTGCATTTTCTCCCACGATGAGCAGTTTTCCACCAGCAAAGGACATGAGTCCATCTATGGAAGACAGAGCTCTGGCATGTTAGTGTACTCTGGCAGGGGCGAGGGATGCCTGTGCCAGGTCTTGTCCTAAAGAACTACTGTCAAGCACTCAGGTTCAGTGTGGCAGATCCATATCGTTTACCTCTCTTTGCTTCATAGTATGGCAGTTTTAGGGAAGCCTAGAGAAATCCCAGGATGGAGGGTCAAGGATAGAAAACCCTGGGTGCCCTTGATGGTTCACTCCAAACTTGAGCCAAATCCTTAGCCAGTGAGTCCTGAGAGCCAATCTTCTTCTGGGGGAATTCTTGGAATTTTCAAGATTGACTCAAAGCCTAAGTGGAGCTTGGGCTTACTCTAGGCAGAATTCATAATTCCCAGAGGGTTCTCGGTAACCCCTAACACCAGTCCAGAATTTGAGGGTGTTGTGGTACAGTGCAGGGGCCCTTGGAGCAAGGAGGACAGCAGTCCCCCCCACACAACCAGTGTCAACCCCGGGTCTCTCCTGCCACAGCAACTGGCTCTCTGAGTTTCTGGTCTGGTCTTGAATTTCCCTGTAGTCTTCTTAGACTCTAATTCTGAGAAAGACACTGGGAAGAGGCCTCTTTCCACAATGTATTTTTCTAAGGCTTGGCTCATAGATTCTAGTTTCTAAGGGCTTCAGTTTGAGAAGTCATAGTGTATTAAGACTTACCTTGGGTTAGACAGAAGGAAATACCTTAACAGTGGATTTCATAGAACTCCAAGACATTTTAGTTTGAAGGACCTTGGAAATCGTTTAGTTCAATTCCCTCGTTTTCCAGAGGAATCATCTAGTTCAATTCCCTCATTTTCCAGGAGAATCATCTAGCTCAATTCTCTCATTTTCCAGAGGAGGAGGACCACACAGCTACTTATTTAGTTCACACAGAACTAAAGTCTGGGTCTTCGATTGTCGAGACTGTGTTTTCCCCCGAGGACTGCTGCAGAATGGAAGCCCTGGCTGTCGGACAGAGGGGGAAGATGTTCCCCACACAGCCCTTTTCTCTGCTCTGCCTCTTCCTTCAAAGACTGTGTTCCAGATTCCTACTCTAAATACTCCCTCATCATATCCTTTGCTACCAGTTAAAGCCTCCTCTCTCAGCCAAGTCAGAGAAAGTCATGGAGAAGCCACAGGCCTAAGCTTATTTTGTGTATGTTCACACTGTAGTGCTGGTTGGGCCTAAAGATAGACTTCCTTTAAGTTCTTCCCCTGTTCCCTATTTAAGCTGGGAGCATTTTCATGAAGAGGCTTCATGAATTTGCCCTAATGATAATGTTGGCCCCATTATTTAGAACCTAGAACTGTTAGAACTGCCTGTTAATTGTAAAATGCTTCCTGTTCTTGCTTTATCTCACTTTTTCCTACCAAGTAATTCTGACTGCCAAATTCTGCCCAGCTCTGCCTAACCTCTGGACTCAGGGGCCCTACTCACCATAGTAAATGCCAAAGAGGGTTGCGGCCCCCGCAAAGGCCCCCAAGAACTGGGCTCCCATGTAAAAAGGCAATTTGAACCATTTCATCCGTCCAAAAAGACACATTGCAAAAGTCACGGCCGGGTTGATGTGGCCACCTGTGAGGAAGATGAGATGATTAGGAGTGTCGGAGGGCAGGCCAGGGAGAAGTATTATGAAGAAGCCTTATCTGGAGACCTCGGCAGAACTCAGAGAACTGTAGGTGAGGAGACAGAGGCTTGGGTATGTGTGTGCCTGAGTGGGGAGGGAGGAAGGACTAATAATCTTCATGGCATCATTAGACACTGTTTAGGAAGCTTAGCCTGCTGAAAGGCGAGTCTTTACAGAAAGGAATTTGTACTCAAGTGGCTCATTTTCTATCTATCTATCACCTATCTGTCACCTATCATCTATCATGATCATCTATCTACTGAGTTTTATCTATCTATAAAGCAACAACCCCAAAGAGATTGATGTAAACTGTTAATTTCAATATATATTTTAAAAAGTCACTAGCCATTCCTTGGTCCATGGCCAGAGGATATAAAAACAATCTTTAAGGGGAAATGCCCCTTGGTCGGTGGGCTGTGCCTCTCACTGGGGTAAGTGGCTCCGTTTATCTGAGGTGATCACAGTGTCTGAGTAGATTCCCCACATTTCCTCTGCATAAACAATGTATGGCTCTCACATCCAGAGATACAGCAACACTTCTGTCACCCCAGCCTAATCTAGAGAAATCAGCCTCCTTGATTCCCATGTACCCACAAGATCAGTTAGAGAGTTTGCTCTGTGGTAGATCAGTAATATCCCCAGCTGGCTTTGCCAGGAACAACAACATCTATTGAACACCTGCCAGATGCTGTCATAGGGGCATTACATGCACTTGATCCTTGTAAGAACCCAGTGAGATGGGTACTGCTCCAGTTAACTGTGAGGAAACTGAGGCACAGAAGTAAAGTAACTTTCTTAAGGCCATATGGTTAATAAGTGGTAGAACTAGGATTCCAGTCCAGGTTAACCTGAACTTTGGTGCCTATGTTTTTTATGTTATACCACTTCCAGAACTTCTTCACCAAGTCTATCAAGGCTTCTTCGCCTTAGTGGGCAGGAAATAAAAAGAATTTCAAAAACTATCTTTGAGCATATGGGCTCACTTCCTATGGATGAAGGATGTTCACTTAAAGAGTACAGATGACATTTTGTGTGGAGGGAGAATTACAGTCACTGTCAATGCGACCACATTGAAATGTGGACCTTTGGGTTATGGAAATCAAAAGAAGAGTGATGATGATGATGATGATGATGATGATGATGATGATGATTCCTCTCCATTTGACCCTCCACAGAACCTATCAGTGAACCTGTTTTTGGAAGCTCTCCCCCTGTGAAGAAAGAGATGCTTTTCTCAAATTTCCAAGCCAAAGTGGGCTTGCAGTGAGGAGGGGTTCTGGCTGCAGGCAAAACCACGAGTCTTTTCTTCATGTGCCCTTGCCACTCGGGCTAATATGAGCAAGAAAATTCCAACGTATCAAAGTATAGATGACTTCCTGAAGTCTTACAAACACTTAAACTGTTTTGTTTTACTTTTAAATCCAAGACAGCCACAATTCTGGAGACTAGCAGGAGTACAGCTTACTAGGAAAGCTGGAAACAGGGGTTAGGAGATGGGAGCACGCACGGTGGTGGAAAGTTCCTGAAGCCAGCTCTGTTCCTATTGTCCCAGAGGCTGGTTGGAGAGTAGCCGCCACCGAACCAGCCTAGAGGGACCCATTAGGAAAGGACGAGAGGACATAAGAAATCACCTCCAATCAAAGATACCACTCCTTCTATGAGTTTGCCAATCAAAGAGTTATTTCTTTAGCAAGCTCCTCTTCCAAAATAAAACTTCCCGTAGACAGCTTTATGCTTTTTAGCCCCTCATAAGCACCCTGAGGCAGGAACTCTTCTTCATCTTGCTGCAAGGCACTTCACACGTGTTCAAGATATGAATGTTGAAGAAATAAGAGGTCTGTATTCCGAGGGCTCAGACTACAAAGATCTACAGAGAGGGAAAGTTGTTTGGGGGTCAGAGAGGGTGTGTCCGGGAGGGTGCCCTGCAAAGCAGTGAGGAAAACTCTCCTTGCAGAGGTGAATGGTCGCTCCGGCTTAGTGGAAGGAAAAGGCAGAGCAGTGTAGCGGAAAGAACACGAGTGCTGGAGTCAGAGTGGGGCACTCCACCCTTGCCTTGGATCAGCCAAGGTTTTTGTGAAAATCAGCTTATTTATTTACACAAAGAGCCCGGGGTTGCAGCTGGAGACCAGGAGGCCTGAGATGAAAGTCTTATGTGAGCAGGGTGAACTCCTTCAAGGTTCTATTCTAGACAAGTCCCCTCCTGCCCGCTACCCACAGACAATTCTGTGATGGAAATAAACTTGGGAATTTGCCATTAAGCAAAGCTATTTTGCTTTTCCAGTGAATTTATATTACTTATAAAACACTACATCAAAAACAACCACGGTAGTCTAGGTACGAGTAGGCACTGTAAACACTTCGTGGGGGACGCCGCATAATTAGGGCGCTGTGGGTTCTGACTGGCGGATTGGCTGGCCAGACCACTGGCATGTTCCCAACGGAGCAGGATGCAGGAACTTCCTGGCAGTCAGGTCACGTCTTATAGATCAAAACCACAGGGCAGCTGGCCTTACCAGTCTGCGACCACAAAATGGGATCCCATTTATGTTTCAGCCCAATGTACACTGGTTGTTTTTGGAATCCTCAAAGTGGGCCTCATATGTGCCCATCAACCAGTATGTTAGCTGTAGCCACCACTGAGAAAGTCACCTCCCACTCACAATCTCTCTCTCCTGTTCCTGTGGCTGCTGAAGCCAATACTGACATTGGCGTGGATGTCATCAGTGGGCCGTTGTGTTGTCTTGCCCTGTTCCCAAAGCCACCAGTCCTCAGGAAGCTGGAACAGCGCTAGGTTCCAAACAGAGCTGGCAAGACCAGTTCCCTTTCCAGCCCAATGCTGCCTTTTATCAGTCAGGCTCAGAAACAGCTCTACTTGTATTTTGGGGTCTCAGCCTCTTGTAAACAATTTCATCAGCTCCTGACTCTCACTCGGAAACAAGCTCTAGTGAAAACAGCCCCATTAGTTCTGGGCACCCCTCTGAGCACAGGGGCTTAACCCCAGTCCAGGCCAGATGGGAAGACTCCACGCCACCCCTCTAGCTACATCGGTAGGGCCAGGGACCAATTTATCTTAAGTAAATATTTGACAATGTTCAATTTAGGGCATGATGCTGGCAAAACACTCCAAAACCAGCAAAAAATCTCCAGCTAAAAAAATAGCTGAGAATAGGCCCACATTTGTATTGCACGGTTTGTGGTAACCACACTTGTGTGAATGTAGTGGGAGCATGTAGGGGGTGGCAGAGGAGTATGGTGGGTGCTTGTTCTAATCCAGGACTGTGTTCTGTGTGTCAGGTCTGCGCTGTAATAACGCCTTGGTACAGTCGGGTGGTCCCCTGGTTATTCTTGTGCCTTAGGAAGGCAGTACTATGCTGGGATCACAGCAAAGGCTCGACAAGAGTTTGAACAGAAACAGTGCTCATGCCAAACAAATCAGGGAGTACACAGGAATCTGTAACCCAGCCTGCCCCTGGATCTGTCTGACTGTGATATGGAAAAGGTGCCAGCCAGCAAATGACCGTTGCAGGTGCCCAGCCCAAGGAGGCTCCCAGGGAGTCTGAGCAATCATTCTTCAGGGCTCCAATGACAGCATTTGTCACCAGGCCAGCTAGGTTAACTGCAGGATCCTCTGGCAGGACCATTCTGCCCAAAAGTCCTGCCTGGAATACCCTTCTCATAAGAGACCTTTTGAAATATCGTGTAATAAAGGGGACATGAGCTTTGCTGTCACATAGGCCTGGGTCAAATCTTTGCTCTGCCTCTTTACCAGCTGTGGGACTTCCAGCAATTTATTTAATTCCTCATAGCTCCAGTTTTCTCTGTAGAACGGAGACAATAACGCCTGCCTCCAAGCGCTGCGGGAGAGGAGAGAGGAGATGAAGTCGGTAGAGCACCAGCACAGTGTCCAGCATCACCAAGAGTCCTGCCTGAGTGTTCGGAGCACCCAGACCAGGTTGCTGAAAGATTCCGAGTGCCTTTGGGAACTGGATCATTTCCACATCAGCTTCCTCCTAAGTTCCCAGACTGCATTAAACACCATCATTTCATTTTGCTTCTCAGAACCTTGAGAGAGGCTTCTAATCAGCCTACCTCTCAGGGCAGAATTAGATCAAGACTTCCGGATCAGACCTGTGTGCCCATGAAAGCACCAGCCATTGTGCAATGACCTAGACTCTCTGATAGCGGTGGCTCCAGGTCCAGGGACTTGCCTCTGTTGGAGTGATCTTCACTGGGCTGTTCAGAGTATCTGGGAAACAGTTTCTAAGCATGGGGTAGAGCAAGTAAAAGATCATTTTGACGTGAAGAATATGATGCACTGGTCAGATTTAGGAATCAGTCAGTTCTGAGTTCTAACTGCCATCTCTGTCTCTTGCTAAATGTCGCCTTTGCACAAGTCACTATTTGCTGCCCATTGCAATTTATCATCTATCAAAACAGAATCAAATAGATATTCTTGCAAGATTGTTGAGATCTAAATAAATTAAGGAATGTAAAGCGTGCAGCACTGTTCTAGCACATTGGAATGAGTTAGTAGTCGCTATTATTATTTCTATTACTTACCAGAGACACCTCCAGTCACATAAATGGCCATTGCAACGGCCGTTGCAAATCCAACATTGATAGTGACAATTCCTCCAAAATGTCCTCGACTGAGGATAGCTTGGGCAACAGAGCCACATCCAAGGACCTAGAATGAGAAGAAACTCAACAGGTAAGTGGCAATGGCCACTGTCAAAGATAATGGAAAGTCGCAATAACAAGACATGTTTTTTAACCAAACTCATGGATTGGGCTGCCTCAAGCTTCATACAAATCAAATTATAATGATCCACCTATGTGCAGATAGCAAAATGGTGGTCCCAAGACTGCATTTGGCTTACAGATGAGTTTTGCTGGGCCTGCACAGTGTTAAAATTTTGCCTGCATTTGTAAATTGGGTAATGCCACACAATGATCCAGGTTTCTGGCTTTATTTTAAATTAACTTTTTTACTTTGAGATAGTTGTAGATTCACAAGAGGTTATAAGAAGTGGCACAGAAAGATCCCATGTGCCTTTTACCCATTGGTTTCTTTAAATCAATCAGAAAATCTGGCAACCCTCAGGAAAATAACTTCCTGGAGCAAAGTAGCAGTTGGCTGCTCCCTTTGAGCAGAGTGTGTGCTCTCCCAAATGGCTCACTTCGCTTCACTTCACTCATTTAGGTCTCCTTTCTGGGCCCTATAGGAATTTGGGGTTGAGATCCCTGCTCTAGAAGTTCCCAGTATAAGCCAGATCAGGCTCAAAAATAATCACATGTACATCCAACAAGTGGAAAGGCCATTCGTACCATGTGCAAGGCCATTAGAAAGAGTGTGTGTTGTGTAAGAAAACAAAAGAAACTGTCGGGGGATAGAGTTGGCAATGAAGCCCTCCTAATCCCCATGTTTTTTCTTTCTAATGAGACCGTAGTTTCCTAAAGAGCGGAAGCTGCCAAACTTACTGCTTCTTGCATTTCTTAGGGCACTAAGCACAATGCTGTGAGCACTCTGCACCGCTGTACAACGCAGGTGAAGTATGATAGTGAGTCATCCACAATCTGCAGCTGCTAGAGGATCTTTTGGAGAATAGAATCAGTGTTCAGAAAGGTTTGGAATAAATACATTATGGTCCATTCCCTCAACAGAATACTATGCAGCCATAAAATAGAATGAGGAAGATCTGTGTGTACCAAAGTAGAAAGATCCCCAAGGTATATTATTAAATTAAAAAAAAGATGCAACGCAGTGTTACAGCACACTGCCAATTGTATTAAAAACACATTATATATATTTCTTTTCATATACATGGTCTATTACCATGAATGCGCAAACGGCAGGAAGTGGGGTTGGATCTTAGAGGGGGAAACTACATGGCCAGGACAGGAGTCGGAAGAAAACTTTTCATTGTATATTCTTTTTTTTCTGTTTTTTAACCATGTGTCTTAGTCCATTTGGGCTGCTATAACAAAATACGACAGACTGGGTAGCTCATAAATAACAGAGACTTATTTCTCATGGTTCTGGAGGCTAGAAGTCCAAGATAGTGCCAGCCTGGTCAGGGGAGGGCCCTCTTCCGGGTTGCAGACTTCTCTCTGTGTTCTCATGTGGTGGAAGGGTGAGCTAGCTCTCTGGGACTTCTTTTATGGGGGCACCAGTGTCATTCGTGAGGGCTCTGCTCTCATGACCTAATCACCTCCCACAGGCCCCACCTCCTAATACCATCACCCTGAGCATTAGATTTTTAACAAGTGAATTTGGGGAGGGCACAAACATTCAGACCATGTATTTCCTAATTGTTAAAAAGTGGGTCCTATATATTCATTGAACAACCAATTAAAACCATTTAATCATGATCCATTAAAGAACATCTGGTGAAGCAGGGTTATTGGGAAAGATGGAACAGTGCAGACAAGTTTCGTAGGAAAATAACAAGACACCATGTTAATGACCATCAGCTCATGCTGTGGGTTACAGAGCTCGTGTGGTCCTGGAGGACTAAGTCCTGGACTGTAGGATCGTTACATCATTGCTCTTTATGTATCCAATTGGCCAAACTTTTTCTAAAATAGAGAGTCCAGTTTGGGTGTCATCACTAAAGAGCAACCAACTTGAGGGAGGGCTCAGCACCAAGTGATGAATATTATTGAAGGACGTACGAGGAAAGTTTTCAGAGACAAATATATCTAAGAAAAAAGAGATAAAGAACGTGAACACTTCTTTTCAGGAAGGTAATAACCACCTCCGGTGTTTCTTCCCACAAGGATGAAACTGGAAGTTTGAGACTGTAATATGAGAGCTTGCACATAAACAGTTTCCTGGTAGTGATGAATTAATTCTAAATAGCTCTCCCGGGGGGCGCATTTGTGAGGTCTTCCAGAGAAGTATAATTTACAAACAAGGGATGTTTAATACATATAGAATGACTTTGGTTTACTCCTTCCTGAAGACAGAGAATTACCTAGATGATCTTTTAACATCCTTCCAGTCCCCAGTTCTGGGATATATTGACTTGCCTTAGTTCTAACTACTAGACAGCAGGGAGAAGTAGGCGGGCTTGACATCTCGAGGGAAGTGCTACGCATCCCGCGCACATGGCTGTCTTTGACTTTCATCACAGCCTTGCCTCCAGACTCTACATTGAATGCTAAACAAAGTTGCAGGAGGAACACATTCCCTTTTCCCTTTTCAAAATAATCCCCTGGGTTCATGGCATAGCCTACCAACTTCACCTAGACTTGACATTATTTTCTCTAGAATCCCTATCTACTATAATAACTGTCAGAATTAAAACCACATTGGTGTCTTTCTTTCTTTTTGATTTAAAGCCACTTAAATGCCCTGGGCACAACTTGCAAGCTAACTAGCATTTAGGTAGCATCTTCTGGAAAGAACTAAAAAATACTACCGACAGCGGGATGACCTGATTTAGACAACTGAGGGGTTAGAAGAAATGCATTCAGACGCGGGCCAGCCCCGAGCTATGACTGCTTTCCGAATGAGCATCTTCTCTCTTTTGTGGTCTGATGTGCATGATGCACTTGTGCTAGTCCAGAGAGGGCGTGAAAACTTTAAAGGGCCTGAGTGGACCTGGGGAGGCCTCTGTCCTGTCAAATTTCACTATGATTGATACTCTCCTCTTCCACCCTAGATGCTGAAATTGCTTTTTTCGTTCTTTTCTTAGAAGCATGTACCTTCATTGCTTCTATTGCCATCTAGTGGGGCACTTAGTCACAGATGTCATTGAACTGTTTCCGTATCTATGCCTAGTTTTCCCAATTTTATAAGAAGATACTCAAGATCATGTATTAAACTTCTTTGTCTCTGTAGTAGCGTCTAGTATATTGGAGGTAATTAAATAACCAGATCCCAGGTGCTGCTTCCAGGAATGACTGGTGTCTGTGTAAATGAACACTTCACTTTTCAGTCTCAGCTTGTTCATCTATTGAAGGGGAGTAAAAACACCTGCGAGGCTGTTTCATAAGACTGTTCAGAAAAGGTTCAGATGGGGTAACATTAGTGAAGGCACTATTTAAACAACAAAGGGCAATAATAAGTACAACTATTATTGCTTTTAGTATAAACTCAAAAGGGAAACTCCAATTCAGGGTGAATAAGTTAAGACAAAGGGACTCATGATCTTAACCACTAAATCAATGTCTGGCAATAAAAACAGGGGAGAAAACACATCTATGACAGATTTTAGAAATAGTTGCCGTTTCATTCCTGGATCAAATGGATCACAATTTGCAGAGAGGGGGGAGTGGGAAACTGAAAGACCTTCAGGTTGTTTTGTCTTTCTCCAAAGAAGAGTCATTTCATCGCTGGCGAGGTTTTAGTGCTTTTGGTGGGAAAGCAATGCTAGCAAAGAGGAGAGAGTAAACAACTGTGTTTATTATCAGGTTCCACGCATGTCAGGAGCAAGAGTAAGAATTTCGATGGAAAAGAAAGAAAGACATTTAAAAGGCTGAATTCCTACAAAAGATAAATTGGTGAGTGAGGTATCCGCAAGTCATTCCCAATCACCCAGGCCAAACATTCTGGAATCGTTTGGTATTCCTTCCATTTCTCTCTCTTGGCCACTCATAGCCAAGCACACCCAAATCTCACTGAGCCTTCTTCTGCAGCCTCCAACCAGTATCCCCACCTCCAGTGTCTCCCCCTCTGGTGTCTCCCATGCCAGATGAAGCACGACTTATATGCTGCCCCTCTGTTGCTCAGGAAGTGCCAGCACAAACTCCTCAATGTGGTACGCGGGGTTCTCCAGTGCCTTGTCTCAAGAGCTCCTGCCACTTCCTGCCTTATATTCTTCAGCATAAATCTTCTGCATCAGCCAGGCTAGCATCCTAATCACTTTGAGTCCTCTGAGCTCACGACACTCATTCCCACCTCTGCACACCTACTCATGCTGTACCTTCCAGCAGAATGTCCTTTGCCTGCACCTTCCCCAACCAAACCCAATCTATTCTTAACACTGAGCTCAAATCCTACCTTTCCCGTAGGACTTTCTCTGACAACTTAAGCCCTCAGAGGCCTCTTCTTCTTCTTCTACCATGTCTTTACAATGTCATTTCATTATATTCCACCTTGCCTTGTGGCACCCTCACCAAAACTATAATGTCCACCAGAGCAACTCACGCTTCTTTACATTCCATGCTCAAACAATATATGATGGAAGATATTAAAATATCTAAACACAAGTGGGAAAAAAACCCTGTACAAATGCCTTTTCAAGAGAAAAAGTAAATTTGGGGGTAGGATGTGAAAAGTGGCAGGTGTAATTTCTAAGAAGTATCAGTTGGGACAGCTGGGAAGTTCCCAGCTGAGCCATGACCCTTATGATAAGCTGATTACTAGACACAATAATCACAATATAAACACAATAATAAAACCTAATGTGATAAAGTGATTATCATGAACTGAAATGCTGGGGATGGGGACAAAGAACAGCAAACCCACAGATTTTATTTCATTTGACCCTTCTCAAATCTCTTGCACATCTATTATCTCCTTTAAGCGCAAATCAAGCTATTCCCAGCATAGTACATGGTGTGTAACAGACACTCAATAAATATTTGTTCAGTGAGTATGTAAAAACCGAGCCCTTCCAGAAAAGCAGTAGTTAACGAAAGTTAGGACTTCCTTAGTAAAATGTTTGCAAATGCATGCAA